TCTTATATTCTCAGACTCTCAGACACCTAGATTCTCAGACTCTCAGGCTCTCACACTCTTAGATTCTCAGACTCTGAGACTCTTATGTTCTCAGACTCTCAGACACCTAGATTCTCAGACTCTCAGGCTCTCACACTCTTAGATTCTCAGACTCTGAGACTCTTATGTTCTCAGACTCTCAGACACCTAGATTCTCAGACTCTCAGGCTCTCACACTCTTAGATTCTCAGACTCTGAGACTCTTATGTTCTCAGACTCTCAGACACCTAGATTCTCAGACTCTCAGGCTCTCACACTCTTAGATTCTCAGACTCTGAGACTCTTATGTTCTCAGACTCTCAGACACCTAGATTCTCAGACTCTCAGGCTCTCACACTCTTAGATTCTCAGACTCTGAGACTCTGACACTCTCAGATTCTGACACTCTGACACTCTGATTCTCAGACATATTGGTCCGAGTGTTTAGGATACACTCGGACCAATATCAATTAATAAGAAAAATATTTGAAACATGCCCTGAAAGTACTAATTTCAACTTTTTCTTCATCTTTCTTGTCATTTTCTTCGAGAACTGTTCAGTGTACCAACAAAAGTAATACGACGTAAAATATGTGACTCATCTAGGTCTACAAGTTTTTTTTTTGCTGGCATATTTTTTAATATCATCAATAGTTAAGGAGATATTAATTGTTCAGTGTACAAGGACATGGGACGGGGTTTTCTGTTATTCGAACGAGTTCTATATTTTGCATAATTTTCTTTTTCTGCGAATTGGAACTATTTCGAACACTCTGGAAAACAGTTTCATTAAAATTCTTTGATTAAAATTCAGGAATAAATAGTAATTACAAAAACGGAAAACAGATGCCGGTGAATCATGCAAAATATGGCTGGAATATTTTTGAATGTGAAGTAAGAATTCCATTCCCAATCCATTTTTAATCTAATTCTAATCTACGTCACTGCCGTATAAAGCAAAAAGTCAAAGGAAAACTGATTAAATGCACATAACAATAGATTTCATGCTGAACACCGCAAAGGTTGCATAATAATTTTGAATTTAGAACAAATGCTTGATTAATTGTTATTGAGGGACTGGTCTATATAGTAGACATTTTATACAGAGAAGATATTATAAACGTCTGTCAACTTTCATGAAAATCTTTGGAAAAGCTTTCAATTTGAACTGAGAAAAATTTGCAATTTAAAAATCAATCATGATGCGATATTGGGAAATCTTGCAATCTACGAAAATCTCACAAATTAAGAAAACATTATGAATCGAGAAAATTTTCAAATTACGAAATTCTTACGATTTAAGAAAATCTTGGAATTTAAACAAATTTCGCATATTAAGGAAATCCCGTTTCGTACGAAAACCTATCAAATTATGAGAAACTTGCTGTTTAACAAAATCTTATAGTTACAAACAATTTTCGAACTCGGAAAGTCTTACAATGTAAGAAAATCGTGTAATTCTAGAAAATCTTGTAATTTGTGAAAATCTTATAATTGAGGAAAATCTTGTAATTCGGAAAAATCTTGTAATTCTGGAAAATCTTGCTATTTTCAGAAATATCATGCTATTCAGGAAAATCTTGTAATTTTGGAAAATATTGCAATTCAGGAAAATCTTGCAATTCGGGCAACTATTGTAATTTAGGAAAATCTTGTAATTCAGAAAAATCGTGCAATTCAAGCAAATCTTGTAATTTAGGAAAATCTTGTAATTCGAAAAAATCTTGTAATTTTGGAAAATCATGCTATTCCGAAAAATCATGCAATTCAGAAAAATCTTGTAATTTTGGAAAATTTTGCAATTCAATCAAATCTTGTAATGTGTGAAAATCTTATAATTTAGAAAAATCTTGCTATTCAGGAAAATCTTGTAATATGGGAAAATCTTGTAATTAGGAAAATCTTGCTATTCAGGAAAATCTTGTAATTCAGAAGAATCTTGCAAATTAGGAAAATCATGTAAATTGAAAAGATCCTGCAAATTCAACAAATATTGCAATTTAAGGAAGTCTTGATTAAAAAATAAATAAATTTAATGAATCTTGGAAATTAAGAAAATCTTGCTTTTACAAAAGCGCAGATAAAAATGAAGTCACTATTGTCAAGAAATTGAAAGCCATTCTAAAGAAAATGGTGTGAGCATTAGCAGACAACACGAGTAGCAGATAAATGCAGTGATAAATCGAAGTACTAATAAATGATTAGATCTTCTCCCACGTTTACAATTTTTTCTGGTTTATACGGATCTTTTTATCTAGTCGTTGTCATAAATATTGCGTTATCATAAATATTTATTATTGCATTTCCAATGATGTTTTCCTTGGTGACCCACCCTGTTCCTGCGGTTCCGAGTAAAAAATCTCTGGACTTGACTAAGATCATCGATTATGACATTACAATGACACGAAGAATTGTAACAGGAATGCGCGATGACACGTAGAACGGTCGCACGATGAAAATTAAAACATGCGACGTAAGTAAAACATGCATAAAATTTATTTCTCGTGGCGGGAACTGAATTTTTCAAGATCCACGTAATCCTAATTTTGACGAAATTTTTGTCTATTTCGATTGAAACATATCCAAGCTTGAACATTCGAAATGTTATTAATGTTGTCAATGTTTTGCGTTTATTAACAGACTTATTTTTACTGTTTGACTAGTTCTCATGAATTATTTAATCTTCATACAAGTGCTGCGATATTTATACCAATCTCAACTTTGAGAAGGATTTTAAGAAAATGTTTACAAGTGTTGGTCACGGGACCTGTTTCGTATGAAAGTTTAAACAACGGTGAAACGAAAAATATGAATATCGAACGCTACCACCTGCAATCTCAAAAGTTATGCGAATTTTAAGAAACAATTTTTCAGACGTTTCCGACGATCTGACAAAAAAATGCTTCCCACGGAAGTTAATCAGTATTTGCAAGGCAGAATCCATTATTCCTTCAAGGTCGAGTCCTTCGTTTTGTTATCGTAGCCATTGTTTGCCTAATCACTCGCAACTAATCGGCGACGATCAATTATTATTATATCGCCGGGGATTGTGCGAGACCTGATGAGCTGCTGCGGTTAAATCTGATCCTGGAAATACTGATGATTGTAATGAACGGGCCGTGGATGTTTGTGTCACTGATCATGCTTAATAGGCAAACCTGTGTCCCCGGAGTCTTGACGCGGTTTTAGGAACTCCGTTACGTTGCGTTCGAAACATTGGTGCACAAGAAAATGCAACGCCATTTAATGCGACGATTTTCATCGAAACAGCTATATATATACACTATATCCTACACATATGTATATACTATATGTATATACATATGTATATACTACATATACTACGGATCCCGAATAAAATGTGCCAAAAGACGTGTTAATCCGATTCTAGATGTACGATCCATTTTATTTTATAACAATATTTCCAGGGCCTAATAAATCATTTTTTTATATTTCTGTCATTCCGACCATTTTTTCCAAATATTGAACGTTGTCTGGTAAACCAGTCCCTGTAACATCCGATGGAACCTTTCGGTTTCAGGTCGGAAAAATTTCTAGTCCACGCTGCAGGGCAGAAAAAGAAGACTAAGAATGACGTTGACACGAGGGCCGACGTTGCCATCGAAACTATGCAACAGCAATGCAGCACCGGGCCACGAAGTTCGAATTAATCTACGTTGCTGTCAACAGCAGAAATCAAGCGTGGGTGCCTGCTGCTCCGCAGCCACCAGTTGCCCTACACTCTCGATATTAAATCGACCACCACGAGGTTGATTATTCATCGATCCTTTGACGCTCGAACGGCGAACCTTTCTGACAAAAATGCAACACGGTGTGCGTAGGACGATTTGTAGTTTTATTTTTCGAATCGTTTTCGTGTATATTTCACGGTACGCGTTCTAGACACGTTGATTCTTCGATTTTTACGATACACGTGAAAACCTTCAATTACTTGAACGGAAACTCGATTAACAATTTTTATACTATGGGTCCAAATATGCGTCACTGAAATCCGCCACTGAATGAAAATAACTAACAGTTGCTTTCTCTCGATAGGTAAAGTTAGGGAACGATTGCGGTGACAAGAAAGAAGGCGGACATACGAGGAAGGCAATTTCATTTCCAGCAATTTTCGTTCATCTTTCATAATTCTAGCACCAATGGATAGCTGAGATTCTTCCGATTAAAATGAGCCCAAACACGATGGAAATCGGACCACGTTTATCGATGTACTATATACCGGGAAAGCAAAATAACTTTGATCATTTAAAGTATTTTGCTTGTTCTTTGATAATATGCACGAATGTGAAAGAGAAGTATTGTTTTGTTTAAATAGGCGAATGGTACGATACACAGAAAAGTTTTCACAAGGTGACACTCTTCGCGATTTTCATTTATCGTAATTATTTTTTAATGACAATATATTATTCGTATCATTATTACGTAAACAATCGGGGTCAATATCTACCTAATCACTCACTCACAATCAGTCACCGAAAAGTATTTCGCTTCGACAGTTTCTTCAAATTTGACTATCGATCGAGTTATTTAGTTCACCCTGTAGATTGTCCGTTAATTAATCCGGCAACCGCTTAAACTGACCAGATTTACATTGTGTTTGGACCTGTTTCAATCGGGAGAATCTCAGCTATCCACTGATGCCGCGATCGTAGAAGTACGACGAAAGTAAATGCAAATAAAATTTCTACTTACAACAATTTATTCGCACCAAAATTAAAAAAAAGAAAGATATTTCAGCCATTGCACGGCAAACCAAGTTCCTCTAATATTTGAAAAGAATTCAAGTGATTCGGTATGGTTTAAAAAAAAAAATCGGATCGACTTGAAAAGATTCGGCGCAGTCGCAGTCGGGCCGATCCGGGCCGCCCGGGACAGTTCCGGGCGGTTCAGAACACTGTAGGCGCGAGCCGCCCCGACTGACCGGCTGGAAGGGATACGCATAAGACTAGTACAGCGGAGCTTTGCGTTGTCAGACGGCGGAGGATATCGTTCGTGGCCGGGATAAGGGAACAGAGAGAGAGGGAGAGAGAGAAGGTGACTCGAGAACCTTGCCGCCAGTGTCCGACGGTGGTGCGTGTCCAGAGACGGACCAGAGCTCTCTGCTATCACTTCGAGAGTCGTTTCCTCGCAACGCGAGGATCGCGCAGCGTTTAATCCATCCTCGGATCGAGCGGGCGCACCTCAGGATCCAGCAGAAGCCACATCGTCCGATTGATCCGCCGATTTTCTCCATCGATTTTCTCCGCCGATTTTCTACAACGTCGAGGCACACCATCCCTCCGGAAGATCTACCGATCGATCGATCCGATTCCACGAGAAAATCGGTGCCGGTGCGCCTTGGATCCGCCAGCGACGGTGGATACTAAATCGTGAATACTAATCTCCAGTTCGGCGAGCCATTCTATCAGGTGAGTGAAAATTCAGAACTAGCTTGATTCGCGAACCGACGCCCGTGGATCCGTTGGAGGCGTATCGGTTTGGCCCGTTGCGCATTACTTCGGTTCGGATCGTATTACCTCGGTGCGGATCGTATTACCTCGGTGCGGTTATCGCTAATGTGCAAAGGAACTTTGAATAGTAGATCTGGACTGAAGACTTTCTACAGTATTGTGTTGTGGAGATATTTTTAAGTGAAATTGAAATGTTTTAGCAAATGTTTCACTGTGCGACAAATTAATATACAAGGTATCCCAAAAGTCACTCGCGGACCAATGAGATGCGGCTTAGTTGGCGCGCGGCGGCCGAGCCAATGAGTGCGGAACTGGACTTCGACCGTCCGTTGGCTCGGCTGTCACACGCCAGCCCCAAGCTCGCCTCTTATTGGTCAGTGTTTTTCGTTAATAACTCGTTAACGACGCCTTGGAGAAAAATTTTGTAAAGGAAAAAGTTACTTCAAATGACCTCAGGAACCCCTTATGATGAGGCTTGCTGAAATAAATTATCCTTCATTATTTATTCTGTCATTGTTATTTCATTAATCACATTCAGTGATCTACTTTTATGAATGTTTCGTACTCAAGGTCACGCGAAGTTCATAACCTCGGCTGTCGTATAGCGACGATAAGATTATATCATTCTGTTCAAAGAAAACTTCGATGAGCTTGAAATTTCAAAAAATAAGCTTGAACAAACTTTTTGCTTATTATAATATTTGCCTCTTTGAATCAAACGAATGTTTTCCTCTGACATTTTGTTCTTTCATAAAAAATAAGCGAGATATTTTAGATGCGCGAGTTCGATGAGACACCCTGTATATTGTACAGGGTGTAGTCTAGTAGTATACTAGTTTGGAAAGTAGAAAGTATAATAGAATAAATATTTACTTCTCGCATCAGTTTCGTAGCTTTATTATTGTTATTTCTTATTATTGCATTAATAATACCAAAGATACAAACAAAATAATTTGATGGGCAAAATAATTTGATCATGTTGAATATTTTACTTGATCTTTTATGATTCAACGAAAAGTATTTTGCTGCGACAGTTTTTCCAAGTTAACAGAAACAAGTGAAACACTCCTATTGTTCGAGTGATTTTGTCCACCCTGTAGATTGAGAACAGCTTAAACTAACGCGATTTACATCGTGTTTGGACTACTTTTAATCGGAAAAATCTCAGTCATCCATTGATGCTGCCACCATAGAAGTGCGACGAAAATTACTGGATATAAAATTTCCTTTCGCGAAACTTTAGCTGCAGCAAAAGTCGGAGAAAGTGTTAATTAAATTAATTCGATTAATTAATATAAAAAAGAAGGTACCGCTGAATCCAAAGATCTTAGGAATGAAACGACAGTGTTTTCCGTGACGTCCACAAAAATTGCACAATATTTGCGAGAACCGTGAACGCATAAATTGGCGGTAGAAATAATAATTCACCGGAAGTGGAAGGGAAACGTTAGAGAACGGTGCGCACGTGGCTTTAGAAACGAGCGAGCCTGATCGAGCGAACGTCGAGACCAGCCGATTTCGTTATTGTTCGGCGAGTTTGTTGTGGATTGTCCGGCGAACGAACGTAGCAGGTGTGTCCGAAATAAGTTGACCGACCTGGGTCCCGCTCGCGTATATCCGAGAGATTGCAACACGGCCGATGGATCAAGCCCAGCCCGGCAGGAAATACGAAACCGCGCTGTGCCCAATGTATGCGGATAGAGGAGTCGGGGAATAAACCGGCGGTCGAAACGACCGGCCGGAATAGGAATTGCTGTGTACGGCAATTATACCGGGGGCAGAGGTCGTTTTTACGTTCGAAAATCATTTCGCAACTGCCAAAGATGTCAGCGATCATTCATAAGTTATTTCGAGAGTAGGCTAATTATGCCTTGTGGACAAACAAGAAACTATGACACTGTTCGGGGGAGGGGGGGATCGGGGTGAAATTTGAATGAATATCGGTAGAACATGGGTTTTAAAAACTCGCGACTAGACGATTTATTAATAGACTATAGATTTTATGCACATGTGACGAGATTGTAGATTTTATGCACCTGTGGCTAGATTGTAGATTTTATGCACTTATGTCTAGACTGTATATTTTTAGTACTTGTTGCTAGACTGCTGATTTTGTGCAGTTAACCTGGATTGTAGATTTTCGGTATTATATTTATGTTAAACTAAATTTTACGCAACTTATGACCAGTCCGTACATTTTATGCACTTACGACTAGACTGTAGATTTTATGCACTTATGACTAGGTTGTAGATTTTATGCACTTGTGACTAGACTACAGATTTCATGCGCGTAATCTATACTGTAGATTTTATGCATTTATGACCAGACTGTAGATCTTATGCACTTGTTACTAGACTACAGATTGTATACACTTAACCTAGACTGTAGATTTTATGCACTTATGCCTAGACTGTGGCTTTTATGCACTTGCATCTAGACTGCATATATTTTTAGTACTTGTTGCTATACTGCTGATTTTATGCACTTATCCTAGACTGTAGATTTTATACACTCATGACTAGACTACAGATTTTATAAATTTAACCTAGACTGTACATTTTATGCACTTATGTTTTACATAACTACATATATTTTCGTACGTCCAGAGTGTGCATCTTGATGCATTTATGTCCACTAATTAAGACCAAATTGCAAATTTTTGGGACTTCTAACTAGCACTGCTGACTTTATTCTCATACCACCAAGCTCTATATTTTTATGCATAATGTGCATGATGACGTACATCTGTCTGAAGGATGTATTTAATGTAGTCACGACTCGACTTTTGATTTTTGTACACTTGTAAGTAGGTTGCAGAAATAATGCGCTTGTCAGTCAATGACAAGTCAATATTGTGCACTTAATGGCAGATTGTAAATTATGCAGTTATTGACTATTTGGATTTTGTGCACTTTTCGAGCGTTATTTCTAGCACATACGTCTAGCCTGTCGATGCTTATGCAAATTAGTATAAAAATCTTCACTGTATGCATAAATACTTCAAATGCTGTGAAACTTATTTACTATTTTGCATTCGTTCTACTAATATTCGTCTAGAGTGCATGCAACCTGCTTGTAACGAAACCGAGTAGTTGAATCACTATAGTGTTTTATTACATTCAACTAATTCAAATTGTTATTACTATTATTATTATTATTATTATTTATTGTATACGAGTGACGTAACCCATTGGTAACGTCAAAGGTGCAAAAGCAGCCGGGTCAAAAAAACAGTAAACAAAGAAAATTCGAAGAAGTTTCAGTTTTCTGTTTCCTTGCAATTAATACGAACAATACAGGGTGACCCAAAAGTCACTCGCAATCAAGAAACGTGGGATTCCTGTAATTGTTCTAAATTGTTCCTAAAATGTCCATTTCAAGTAACTTTTCTCATAGCGCAAATGCAATCCGCGGCTTTGTTTGCGAGATATCGACGAAAAACAATGATCAATGAGTGGCGGCGAGATCAGCTGACGCGAGGCGGCCGAGCCAATGAGCGGACTGGAGCAGCAATTCACTTTTGTTATTTTCCAAATCAAAACAAGATGGCAAAATCATCGATTTTACTATGTTAAAATGATAACAACGAATCGACAAAAGTTAAAAACTCCGTTTAAAAAAGCGTATAACTTCGTCATTTTCGCGAATTTAAGTAAATAATTTTGCACACATGTTCTACGGCACTTTCGCTTCAGACGATATTTTACAAAGAAGAAAATACAAGAAAATAGCAAAATTGATTTTTAAAGTTTCAACAGCAGTTCACGTCGGTTCGTTTCCGACGCGTCGTAGTTCCGAGTCGAAGATCTTCGTCCAATCGCTGGCACTCGACGGGTAAACACAGTTGCGACAGTCGAAACGTCTCGAAACGGAGCTCGAGTGAAACTCGTTTCGTCGCATCTCCCGCCGTAGTCGATAGACTCGCGTGCTCGATCCAACGTTTTCGAGATCATGTAAAACAGGGGTGGGGTGGGGGGGAGATCGATCCCTCCGGCGATCGGTTCCACAATCGTGGTGGCCATCGAGGTCGACGGTTGCCCGCGCAGTCTATCGATACACCTATCAATTAGACTCGAAATAACAGGGTGGAAATATTGCCGCAACGCCGCCGCCTAGGCCGCGTTCGCATTATTGCCAGGCTTACGCAGAGATATACAAAGAACCGGTCGCGCCTAAAGGAATTTTCTCGCGGCCGAAACGCGCTATCAGTTACGGGAAGTGGTCAAACTTATGCTAATGCCGATTTCCTCGGCTGCACATATATTGTATTTTACGGCAATTAGCTCACTTGATTGGTGTTCCGTTTCACTTGTTACGAAACATCCGTGCTGTTGTAACAATAAAAACGTCATGAATAATGTGGGTGCTGTACTATGATACTAATTTTTCGCTTTCATACAGACATTCGAATCGAATTACAACGAATCATGTATCAACGTATAGCTGAGGTGATTTTAAGAAACTTTTCTCTTAGCGAAAATGTTCTCCGTGGCCTCGTTGCCGAGTTATTGACGGAAAACGCGGACCAATCACAGGGCGAGTGCAACTGGCGCCCAGCCGTCGCGGTCAATGACGCGTCGAACTCGCCGCCGCGCTGAAACGCGAGGGCGGGGCGCCAGTTGTACTCTGCCCGCGATTGGAGCGTGTTTTTCGTTAATAACTCGTTAACGAGGCCACGTAGAACATTTTCGCAAAGGAAAATGTTTCTCCAAATTACCCGAGCAATCGCTTGGTCGACTCGTTGAAGGCGTAGCGGGAGTTATTGGACACCCTGTGTATCAAAGTCTAGAATAAATGCGTAACTTGAAACCATCGCGGAATATTTCTCACTTCGATCGACGCCGATAACATAGTTCGTTAATTGAATGGACAAGAAAATGCGCGCGACCGCAGCAGTGGCGTAACACGAGCCGAAGGAAATTTGACGCAAGAATTCGCCGCGACAGGTTGAATCCGTAAACTCGCGCTACTGCAGACACCGGGATGCAATAAAACGCGAAGATTATTAGCCGACCGCGAGATGAAAAGTGCTTGAAAAGGTGAGGCGAAACTGATTTAACCAACTTGCTGCTTTGAACAACATCGTACAGTTTTATGAAACTGGTCGAACAATTTTATGTCACGAAATCAGTTGTAATTAGCTTACGATTTCTCAAAAACTTTTCGATTTTCATTTTCCATTGATGTTGTAACTCGCCTGCACACTCTTTTTCGTAATACAAAATCGGAAATCGCCAAAACGCATTTAAACGTTTAAACCAACATTTAAACATATAAATGAGTCGTTTATTTTGAAAGTGGCATAAGTCACTTTACCGTAATGAAAAGTGGTGATTTTTTAATGTTTATACGAAATTATTTATACTGAGAAAAATATCAGTATCCTGAGATAACAAATACAAGTAAATCTTCTCGAAAGTTAGCATACATATTTTTAAACGTGTTAAAACGCAAACCCTTAAATATATCGACTTAAAAACAAAGTGACATATGCCACTTTCAAAATAAACGGCTCA